GAAGAGGAGCATTCACTATAAAAACACAATAAATGAACGCCTCTCGAGCACTTCAATCACTCTAATCAGCCTGATGCCATTGAACCTGAAAGAAAGAAGATAAGAAACATAGAGAGAAAGAAAGGGGAGAAATGACCGAAGTAAGAAACGAATGAAGAGAAATTAAGTTTAGAAAAGTTTGAAGTGTAGGATATTAAAGATCCTGCCCTTAAGACCCAAGGGCCATCTTATATAGTCCAATATATCCTATTAGATCAACATTATTAGTCTGATCTGTCTTGGATCATTGAGCATAACCTCCTAACAGAATAACCAAATCTGTTATTCTCAACACAATACAACTCAAACATGCAATACCCTCATATTCCAAGCTAGAAGCAAAATCAATTAGTGTAAGGGTGAAAAAAGGCTACTTTCAAGCTCCATGGAGTTTCACTTGGGTAACTATATTAAAGATGTCATTCAAATAAACTCAGGAGCAATTAATTGAGAGCGCCAGAGTGAATAAACTAAGGAGTGGATCATAAATGTAAAACCATTTGGGATTTGGAAGATCGTGAATTGAGATTAAAGAAAAGGCCATACCATAGTTTAACATTATGAAGAAAAAAAAACTCAAAAACCCAAGCAAAGCCCATAGAAAATGCTTCTCTTGGTTAGGTGATTGATTTCATTTGCCCTTTACTTCTCTTCTCCACTCGTCATGAACACAGAGATGAAGCAGTAGGGTCGGAGATGGTGTAAAGTCAACTAAATCCACCACATTACCAAATCAAATGCCTCGCGAAATGCTCTCAAGCTCTGTCGCTGTTGCAGGACAGCTTAAGTGCTTTACACTACAGTTTGCACTATCTATAAGCCTCAAAGGTGCTGGGATGGAAAACATCATGATTTCTATGCCCCATTTTGAAGATTATATTAATAATTTAAATTTCAAAACATAAATTACATCTATTATTAACCCACTTCTCTATACATGTATTAAACCTCAGTTGAATTTGATTTCACCTAATTTAATGACATCAATTCAGTTAAAAGATACACAAAATCTATACTATAAAATAATTACTAGGTATCTTGAAGAGTATATTAATAATTTATTTTTTAAATGAATTATATATTATTAATCTACTCATATTTGTTAAATAAATGATTGTTATTCTTAGATATCATGAGTTTGAACACAGACAACTGCAGGGAATTTGTTAAATGAATCATTGTCAAATAATTGAGAATCTCTATAACATATACTATCACTTGTAATCTCGCTATATTAGTAAAAAAATATTTCTAAAAAGTTCCCGTTGAGTTAATTTAGTTTTTTATTCTACTAATTTTTATTAAGATTATGTGTTGTTTATCTTTCTTTTCATTATTTTTTTCTTTTGATGATTATTATTTGAACAAAATATACTATTTTGTTCATACAGTAATGACTCAAATACTAATGATCATAAATTATCTTATTTAATTTGTATCATAAATTAATCATCTATTGATTCAATTAAAAAAAATTTAAAAAAATTTTTAAAAATGGCAATTAAGATTATTATAAAAAATTTATCTTTTGATTTTTTATATAATCTTTAAATCAAATAATTAAGAAATTTTCTTTAAAGATTAAATATGTTATAAATAGATTCACACATAAATCTTTTGACATTTCAAATGTGATCATTTATTAATCTTATTATCATATTTTACATGAAACGATTGTAATAAAATTTAATATTTATATATATTAATGTTGTATATAGAATTCCACGTGGATAGAAATTGGAATTTTCATCCAACAAATTTGTGGAATATTTCATTTGATAAATCTAACCTTGAAGGTTGCTCGGTGATGGTTGCCTTATATACATATGGCCAATGCCAATGGTTTGCTTAATAGTTGATTATCATAATTTTCATAGTTATTGACTTATTGCCCTGAAGTTAACATATCATTCATAATTTGAAATGAATCATTAGATTTTTTTTTATAAATTCTAAATTCTAAATTTAATCATAATCCTAATTTTAATCCTATTTAAAGGGATAAGAGGAGGGAACTCTAGGGGAAGGAAGGGGAATGTTGTTACTGGGTCTAGAACTTATGATTTAATCGAATATAATGTAACAAAGATGAGTAATTTGATCAACTGGTAAAATGTGCTTTGTCGAAACATTAATGTTCAAATTGAAACAGTCAATTGTCTTTCATTTTCTTTAACACAAAATACTTTACTATTTTTATTATTCCATCCAGGTTCATATTGATATATGCTAGGTGAGTTGAACTTACCGAGTGATTTATGATCTCAGTGGTTAAGAGAGTAATTTTCTCATTTGAGATCTTGAATTTGAGCAGTTACATCTGTAGGGTATATTTGAGTTATCAATGACTAAGTAATTTTTTTTTGTAACAAAGAGGAGAGGCTGTATTAACAGCGATTGAAGCTTCTGCTCCAGTTATTCAAATCAGTCTGGAAGAGTCAATGGATCTCAGCAGGCGGATGAGTGAGAACGGTGATGACAGACGAAGCCGTGTAATGGTGGTGAGCCAGAGCATCAGCTACATTATTAGCTTTCCTGTGGATATGATTGAGGCTGACGCTTCACTGACGAAGGAGGAGAGTGTGGATTCTACGAATAAGGCTCGGTTCGGATACGGGAGTAGGGGAGATGAGAATCTTGATGTCTTCACTGCAATCCATCTCAACTTCAATGCATCTGAAACCTCGATTCCAGGCGACGATCAAACCATCAAAAAGAGCCCACAACTCGATATGGAGGGCCGAGCATCCGCCAACATTGTGGTGGTACCCCAATAGCCAGATACCATTAGCATCACGAAGGACACCATCTTTCGTTGATTCCATGGAGGAAAGGTTAACCGTGCCATCATTGTTTAGTTTGATAGCCCCTGGGGTGGGTGGATGCCAAACTTGATTCTTGCGTGTGCTAATAATATTCCAAGTGTTGGGGGTCTTCTTAGCTCGAATAGAAATAGCCTAAATATACAATAAAAATATATTTTTTCATACTTGATATAAATATACCATACAAAATTCTAGAATTCGACTCAAACTTAAAAATAAATACACTAATTACTAAAATTTCGAGTTATTTGAGTTGCATTTTACAATTCAATTTGAACTTACAAATTTTTCAAGTCGAGTTTCTGAAATAGCAACTTGAAATTAATTTGAGTCGAGTTTTACTCACCCCTAATTATACGTTTAAAATATTTCCAAGCGTTTGCTCTTATGAGCGATTAGATATTATTTGAAAGAAAATTCTATATTGGCTGGTATAAAGCAAAGCTGATGTGAAGTTGAATCTTCTGGTGGAAGGATCGTTGGCTGGTCACGCTCTTACTTCTATTGCCAGAAAGTCAGACATCAAATTTGACCAAATGATCCATATGACACCAATATTCAAAACATTAATTAATTAATTATGTATGTATGAAATTCCACTAAACTAATATTCCAATTTTAACTAAATTCTGTTATAGTCACAAAATCAATTCCTAAACATTTATTTTATCTTATAAAATAATGATTCCAATTAATTTTCGCAAAACTAAAAGCAAAGTCAAAAAATAAATCAATAATAATTTATTACTATGTACACTATAAGCAGTAATGGAACCAAGTTCATATTAATAAAAAATTAATAATTTAAATAGCTTAAATTATAATAATTTGTATTTATTAATTCAAAGGAATGATCATAGATATTTTATATTTATTATCTTATTTTGAACTGATTCAAATCCTGTACATGTTTAGTCATTTAACTATAACTTTTGTTTTAACTTGATCATTTAATTATTTTTTAAATCATCATTAAACTTATATTTTTATCTCATTTTGGTTACTCATAAAAAGTAAATAAAACTTTTGGCATGTTATTTTTTATTTTTTAATTTTTAATAATGATGTGATGTTATCTTACGGTGACAATTAATATCATCGTCAATTTTTAACGATAAATAACCAAAATGAAATAAAAGTATAAATTTGATGACGATTTTAAAAAAATAATTGAGTAATTAAAACATAACACAAGTGATAGTTGGATGACTAAATGTATAGTTTACCCAATAGAAACATGATATTTCCCAAGAAAAGAAGGCGATTGGGTGTTTTCATGTCTCCCCGCCTCCACCTCTCTTATCATGGCCGTCCATATCACTTGGCAATAATGTTTCTTTTAAGATATTTAAGAAACCAATAATGTTTTAAAGCAAAGATAAGCCTGAATTTTTAGAATAATGCACTTAGAAAAAATAATTGCTCCACATTATTTATTCCAAGTGTATTATTTTAAAAAAAATCACTATAAACCCGAATCCTATCTAATCCGTACATAATTCTTAAAAATTAGACCCAACCTGATTCAAATCCTATTTTTTTTTAAAAATCAACTCGATATGATCAGATCAAAACTTATTGAATTCGAATCCTTGTCCATCCCTAGTTAAAACCCATTTCCTCAAAGATCAAATTTGTTGGGAGCAAAAAGGTTTTGGCAAATTCACATTAAAGGTTTGTACTTTTCTTGAGAAAGAGGCCGAGTAAAAAGAAAACAAATGGGCCATGCCCGTGGTGAAGACTACCTATGAGAAAAGTCAAAAAATAAAAATAAAAAAATAGTGAAGACTAATCTACAAGTAAAATACGTGCTGTTCAAGGAAAGGCTCACCAAAAGCTTAATATAAATATACAATGGTTTTTTAAACAATTGAAACATAAAGTGACGCCGCCTGGGCACCAAGTGAGAATAGAATCCAACTACCATTTTGAACTTTTGGTAATTTGATTCTTCTCAATCACTCTTTTCATTTTTTTGGTGAGTTAGGAGTTAGGAGGCATCTGGGTTATCTTCAAATGATGATGAAGTTCTTTTTTTTTTTTATTGAAAAGCTTCAGCTTTGCTGGGAGTTGTTTATACAAGAAACTGGATTTTCTTTTTAATTGTACTTCACTAAGAGAGAGACCAGCTTTTCTCTCTCTTTCTGCTGTTTTTTCTGGTTTTCTGTGGGATCTTTGTTGTCTCTGTTTTTTGTTCATGATTAAATCCAGAGCAGAGGTACTAAATTTTGTACTTTCTGTAGAAAGTCTCTCTCTCTCTCTCTCTCTCTCTCTCTTTTTGTCATCTCCATTTTTCCAGGACGTTGTCAAAGTTTGTTTTCTACCATTTTCTTTCATTGTCTTCTTTTTTTAATCATCTCAAGCCTCTGTTTCAGATTCTTAGCTAATAATATTTTCTTGAGTTTTTGTTCTTATTCTGGATTTCACTTGTAGAGTTTTTGAGTTTGACAAATTTATTCAACTTGTTTGCTGCAGGCGCAATACATTAAACGCCATAGATTCTGAAGTTGTTGAGTATCAAACTAGCAGCTTGGGATCCAGCACCATGGCCTCTGAGAATGGCTTGAATGAACCTACTGAGAGGCATGAGGCCAGCACATCGAAAAGCCAGGAAGAGCCGGAGAAAATCTCCGGCGTCAATGGAGAAAATCAAGGTTCAGAAGGCAAAAAAGAGGATGAGAAAACTAACACGGTTGCGTTTTACAAGCTGTTTGCGTTTGCTGATTCAACGGATATATTGTTGATGATCGTCGGCACGATCGGAGCGGTTGGGAACGGTGTATGTATGCCCCTTATGACGGTCCTCTTTGGGGATCTCATTGACTCTTTTGGAGAAAACCAAAATGACGATAGAATCGTTGATACTGTCTCCAAGGTACTATAACATGTAACATGAACTTAAGTTGTAAGGTTGTGTTTTTATTTTTCATTATTTCGTTGAATTTATACAATGAATTGGTTCTTGGAAAATAATAGGTTTCTTTGAGATTCGTCTACCTTGGGGCAGGGGCATTGGTGGCGGCGTTTCTCCGTAAGTAAATCTCTTATTTAAACCGTATACCTGACTTTTTATGACATACCGGAGTGTTTAATGTTTGAGTTTATTGTTATCAGAGGTGGCCTGTTGGATGGTCACAGGTGAGAGGCAAGCCTCTAGAATAAGGGGATTGTACTTGAAAACCATATTGAGGCAAGACGTTGCTTTCTTTGATGTCGAAACAAACACGGGAGAGGTCGTCGGAAGAATGTCTGGGGATACAGTTCTCATACAAGATGCCATGGGCGAGAAGGTTGCGTATCTCGGCCCTGTGACAGTTATAATCCTCGTAATCATCCTATATATACATGTAATCGTGGAAATGTTTGCTTATGTTTGCAGGTTGGGAAGTTTATACAGTTGATATCGACATTCATTGGAGGCTTTGTTATAGCCTTTGTGCGGGGATGGCTTCTTGCCCTTGTTATGCTGTCATCCCTCCCTCCCCTTGTAATATCTGGTGGCGCCATGGCCATTATAATATCCAAGATGGCATCACGCGGACAAAATGCTTATGCCAAAGCTGCTACCGTAGTCGAACAGACAATCGGTTCGATCAGAACAGTATGTTCCATACGAAGAATACTTGTGTTATTTTCCTTTTCAGTGAAAATATGTGACTAATTTATTCAATCTGATTCTAGGTTGCATCATTTACTGGTGAGAAGCAGGCCATAAGAAATTACAATAAGTTTCTTGTTACAGCTTACAAATCAGGCGTTCATGAAGGCACTGCTGCTGGACTCGGTCTTGGTGTACTTTTTCTAATTGTATTTTGCAGTTATTCTTTGGCTATATGGTTTGGTGCCAGGATGGTTTTGGAAAGAGGGTACTCTGGTGGCGATGTAATCACTGTAATTTTCGCTGTATTGACGGGTTCCATGTGAGTTAAAACTTTGAACTTTGTTTATGTTGCACTTGTTATGCATGCTTCACAGTTCATAACATTAGTTCATTGTACATGTGTATGTTTCAGGTCCCTGGGGCAGGCATCCCCATGTGTGACTGCATTTGCTGCCGGTCAAGCAGCGGCCTTTAAGATGTTTGAAACCATCAAAAGAAAGCCGAAGATCGACCCATATGACACTAGGGGGAAAGTATTGGACGACATAAGCGGGGATGTAGAACTGAAGGATGTTTATTTCAGTTACCCTGCTAGACCAGATGAGCAAATTTTCAGTGGCTTCTCTCTTTCTATTCAAAATGGCACATCAGCGGCTTTGGTTGGACAAAGTGGAAGTGGGAAATCGACTGTGATAAGCCTTATAGAGAGATTTTATGATCCACATGCTGGTGAAGTTCTTATTGATGGCATTAATCTCAAGGAGTTTCAACTTAGATGGATCAGGGGAAAGATTGGTCTTGTTAGCCAGGAGCCTGTATTGTTCACATCAAGCATTAGGGATAACATTGCTTATGGAAAGGAAGGTGCAACCACAGAAGAGATACGAGCCGCTGCTGAACTTGCGAATGCATCTAAGTTCATCGATAAACTGCCTCAGGTTTAATTTCCGGTCCATGTGACGATATAACTTCTACAATTATATATGAATTGAATTGCACGTTTACTTTGGAAAACTAAACTCCATATGCAGGGACTAGATACTATGGTTGGAGAGCATGGAACTCAGCTTTCTGGTGGACAAAAGCAGAGAGTGGCGATAGCAAGAGCAATTCTGAAGGACCCTAGAATATTACTTTTAGATGAAGCTACAAGTGCATTAGATGCAGAATCTGAAAGAGTAGTGCAAGAAGCATTGGATAGGATGATAGGCAATAGGACGACTATCATTGTCGCTCATCGTTTGAGTACTGTGAGAAATGCTGATATGATTGCTGTAATTCATCGAGGAAAAATGGTCGAAAAAGGTGAGTTAAAAGAATATCTTTGTTGAATTTCATCTTAACTTGGTCATCATCATCAGCATCATCTATGAGAACTTTGTTAACAACTTCTACTTCATTCTAGCATTTTCTCAGCGTTGATATAATTTTGCACATTGAGCAGGAACTCATTCGGAACTACTCAAGGATCCTGAGGGAGCATACTCTCAGCTAATTCGGTTACAAGAAGCAAATAAAGAGTCAGAACAGGTAACAGAGATATCAGACGGTAATTCAGAATCGTTTAAACATTCAAGCCTAAAAAAGTCATTGCAGCGCTCAATCAGTAGGGGTTCATCTATGGGAAATAGCAAACGACATTCATTTAATGCGTCATTCGGTTTACCTACTGCGATGCATGTCACTGATCCTACCATGGAAGATACAGAAAACCCTGCTGAAGTACCATCAGAACAGGCTCCAAAGGTTTCCATCCGTCGTCTTGCTTACCTCAACAAGCCAGAGATTCCTGTTCTCCTACTTGGAACTATAGCAGCAGCTGCCAACGGTGTAATATTTCCGATTTTCGGTATCCTAATCTCCAGTGTAATTGACACATTCTTTAAACCACCTGATGAAATCAGAGAGGATTCAAGGTTCTGGGCATTAATATTCATCGCGCTTGGGGTGGCATCAGTTGTGGTAGGTCCAGCACAAAATTACTTCTTTTCCATAGCTGGATGTAAATTAGTCCAACGAATCAGATCGATGTGTTTTGAGAAAGTGGTCCGCATGGAAATTGGTTGGTTCGATGAACCGGAAAATTCTAGTGGTGCAATTGGTGCTAGGCTCTCAGCAGATGCAGCCACAGTACGCGCCCTAGTCGGAGATACGCTAGCTCAGCTGGTTCAAAACAGTTCATCGGCAATAGCTGGTTTAGTCATTGCTTTTGTCGCATGTTGGCAGTTGGCATTTATTGTCCTAGTACTACTCCCTCTTGTTGGGCTCAATGGATATATTCAAATAAAATTCATGAAGGGCTTTAGTGCAGATGCAAAGGTATGCTAAAAATAATAAGCACTTCAACTTTACATGTATTACTTCAATAATTTTGAGAAAGCAGTATGATTTTAAGTGCAGTATTGATTTATATGTAAATTTAAACTGTTGCAGACGATGTATGAAGAGGCAAGCCAAGTTGCTAATGATGCAGTTGGTAGTATAAGAACAGTTGCATCCTTTTGTGCAGAGGAAAAGGTGATGCAGCTCTATAAGAAGAAATGTGAAGGCCCTATGAAAACTGGGATTAAGCAGGGTTTAATAAGTGGAACAGGATTTGGAGTTTCATTCTTCTTTTTGTTTTCTGTTTATGCGACGAGTTTCTATGCAGGAGCTCAACTTGTTGAGCATGGCTATACAACATTCAGAGATGTTTTCCAAGTGAGTCTAACTCTAAACCTTTTTTAAACTTCATGTCCCTATGATACTGAGTTTGACATCTTCTTTGCAGGTTTTCTTTGCTTTGACTATGGCAGCTATAGGAATTTCACAATCAAGCTCCTTTGCTCCCGACTCCGGCAAAGCCAAGGTTGCTGCCGCATCCATTTTTGCGATTATTGATCGCGAGTCTAAGATAGACCCGAGCGATGAGTCCGGGATGACCCTAGAAAACGTGAAGGGGGATATTGAGCTTCGTCATGTCAGTTTTAAGTATCCATCAAGGCCAGATATTCAAATTCTCCGAGACTTGAGTGTGTCTGTTCGTGCTGGCAAGGTAACGATCTTATTGCCGTTTCGAACACATTTTTTGGAAAACCGAAATCGTCCTAATAATGTCAACCTTTGTTGCAGACTGTGGCTTTGGTTGGAGAAAGTGGGAGTGGAAAATCCACAGTCATCTCGTTATTGCAGAGATTCTACGATCCCGAATCAGGAACTATCACTCTTGATGGAGTTGAGATCCAAAAGTTTCAATTGAAGTGGCTAAGGCAACAAATGGGACTTGTGAGCCAAGAGCCTGTTTTATTTAACGACACAATCCGTGCCAACATTGCATACGGGAAAGGTGGAAATGCAACCGAGTCCGAGATTTTAGCTGCATCAGAATTGGCCAATGCTCACAAGTTCATTAGTGCACTAAAACAGGTCATTAGTCATTACCATCACAAAATATTATCCACATGTAGGCAAACATGCTTGATCGGTGTACTTATATATGTTTCTTCCTTTGGTTCTTCCAGGGTTACGATACGGTCGTAGGTGAACGAGGAGTTCAGTTGTCGGGAGGACAGAAACAACGTGTAGCGATTGCGCGAGCCAACGTTAAAAGCCCGAAGATACTGCTGTTAGATGAGGCGACGAGTGCATTGGATGCGGAATCGGAGAAGGTGGTTCAAGATGCACTAGATAGGGTGATAGTGAACCGAACAACGGTTGTAGTGGCTCATAGGCTATCCACCATCAAGAATGCAGATGTTATAGCTGTGGTTAAAAACGGCGTTATTGTAGAGAAAGGAAAGCATGACACCTTGATCAACATCAGAGATGGTTTCTATGCTTCCTTGGTTTCACTGCACATGAATGCTTCCACTGCATAATTTCTTTTTTAATTATATAAATGTGCTCTCCTTTTTTGTTTTCATGTAAACATAAATTTTAGTAAAGTATCGTTTGATTTTATTTTTTTAATTAATCACTAGTATCTGATATGTTGATCTATTAATCTAGTTAGAATAATGCAAATGCGAGAGCAATCCTTCCAACTCAACTTGTTTTACTCGTAAATATAGGATTTGAACATTAATCTTGTTTAAAAAATATAGTGAATTCTAACTTTTTTTTTTATATTTAATTACGGTTAACAAATTACGAGATGATCAAGATGTTGACAACTTATCACAATCTTACAAAGAATAATATAAGATAGATGAACTACTTGACTAAAGCTACGTAAAAATGCATTAAATAATGAAGGTGACAGTATAATTTCTGTTATTATATAAATGCCAGAATCCAAGACTTTGTAGAGTCAGATGGAGTTGATGTCATGGGTGATGAAAGATGTGAAATCAATGCCCCTTTTCCTAGATTTAGTTGCAGGACAGATTCATTGAAGCTGTAAACTCATTTGGAATTTAATGCATGATTGATGGGCATAATTAATATTTTTTGTTCAACTTAAAATAATATGGTTGAGGTTTTCTGTTACGTTCTTTTTTTTTCCTCTCTAAAACTGGAAAGATTGTTGTTGTGACATATCTACCTGGAGTTGCATATCACTTCAAAAAGACATTATATTATCTTTTCGGATACCAATGATGACTATGGATCCATCATCGTTGCCGCTAACTACATCAACTTCACAAACAACATAGGTGACTGCAACTTGGAGCTCATTCCCAATGGATGATCATCTCTCAAATTTAACGATTAAAGTGTAACTTTCCAAAATGTAGTTTGGATTTGGCCCAAACTAGGTCAGAGAAATTTGGATATTTGTCCATCCAAGTCATGGGTATAAAATTACACCATATATTTGTTATTGTTAAGCTGACGGCCCATGCCTATCTCTTCCATTCCTTAAAAGAAAGATCTTATAATCCATAAGAAAAAGAAAAAGATAGCAGACGAAATAAAAGTAGAGAGTTGGGCTAAGGTATCACAGAAAAGAATTAAAGCACCAGGCAATTTGTGTACGGACATCCCTTTTAATTTCCGTTCTTTATTTTGTGAGGGTCCATGAATTGAGAGGGGACAATTTTTAGCATCGGTCCCATATGCTTGGCGAGTGAAATTATTGGAATAAATACGTTTCCCAAAACTAAAAATTCGACTATTAGTACACCAAATTAGTACTGATTATACTCGTTTGTTAAGTTAATGAAAAACAAGCAAGAGTACTTACGACCTTCACTAACGATCTTCAATGGAGTCTTAACGAAATACTACAATATGAAAGAATTTTAAAAATGTAACGTATTTTATAAATTTACAAACGACACAAACTGAGTGACCTCTGTAATAAAAAAATTATGGTTATTCTTTGAGGCTCTGGATTCGAGCTTCGGGAATGCCATGGTTATGAAAATTCAATGTTACATGGCTGAGAGTTATCTTTGAACAAATATTAAATTTTACTTGTCTCAGATTAATAGAAAATTGCAATCGATACTTAAAATGCTAAAATAAAACTCATAATGTAATATATGCATTTGTAATTTTAAAAGGTCAATCAAAATGAAGAAGCACATTTGATCAGTTGGTCAAGTTGCTATCTTTGTTTTCTCGTATTCTATTAGGTTATGAGTTATAGATCCACTAGGAGCACTCCCCTTCTTTCCCCTAGAATTTTCCCTTCCCTTCCCTTCCCTTCCCTTCCCCTCCCCTCCCCTCCCCTCTCCTCCAAGTAGGATTAGATTTAGAATTTATCCAAAAAAAATCAATCAAAATTACAATCTCTTTGAACCCTTCAAATAATCTTGGTGGTTAAATGGAGTGTTATTCTCCCTAGAAGTCCTGAGTTTGAGCAGATGCGTTTGTAGGGTGTGTGTGCGTTGTTAATGATTAAGAAAGATCCTAAATAGATATTATTTTGCAATCACCTTAGACTATTTAAAAAATTAGAATTGTTTGGTATAACCATCAATATCCAATTAATTGGTATACAAATTCAGATCAAGTACTACAAAAATCTAGTATATGGACGATCTTTCTGACCTAACTCGTTTCGTTCATAACATTAAAATTTGAATCTTGAACATTGTTTAAGAGATCTAGTATTTTATCTAACTAGAGTAATTAGGGTAATAAATGGATCTTTAGTAAAAAAAAGATCACATAGAACAATTCAAAGATATAAGACACTATTAGTTGTAAAAGGTTTTAATCAAAAGTTCGGTATCAAATTTTTACACATTGTTTCATTTCTAAATATCCACCAATTTTTACTTTATTTTTTAAACTTCCATTTAGTGATGGTGTAACACCCTAATCCAATACGACAAAAAGTCGATCGATTAGAATGCCACATAGAACCACCAAAGTGGCTAACCAAAAAAAATTCTTTAAATACTTTGGAAATCACACAATTAAAGACCATTCAATTAAAGGAAATCAATATAATTTCAAACATGGTTTACATCTGGAGCTCCTAAAATAAGTACATAAAAAACAATACAATTGAGTATTTAAAATAAAGTTACGACTCAAATACACGAAGGTCTATGAATAATACATACCCTCTAAAGAAGTAATTCGAGACATACACTGCTGCTCAAAGTGTTTGGAACGTCCCCTGTGCGATAGGCTCCCCGAATACTCCTCCTAACGACCTACGCATGGAAACAAATTCCGAACGCTGAGCTCACTAGCCCGTGCCACAATAACATCTAAACCATACTAAAAGTGCTCGTTAAAAAGCTCATGCTATCAAGTACAATAGAAGGGTGAGTATACTCATATGCTACACACTATTATCGGGTAGAAATCATGGTGTGGTCGGAGGGTTACACGTCTTGGGACTCATACCGAACACAACACCCAATTAACCCACCCCTCGCGGGTGTTCGGGCCTTGCACCCTAGTTAGTCTTAAAGTTTCTCGCGCACTACCTAAGGATATCCAAACATTCTATACTTCGTTGTTAACTTCCTCTTTTAAAATAACTTAGTTGTACTGATCGTTTTCCCGAGTATCAACCAAGGCTAGTTTTATGTTGCCCTAATTGATATTGATTCTAGCTGTAATTGCATTTCAATAATGGTTATCACTTGTAGTCTTATTTGATGGTATCTTAGTGTTATGTGAGACATTTCATTAAGAATGAAGTACTCACCTTGAAAGTATGTAAAATCTGAAATGAACCTTGTTAACCCTTCAAATAAAGGGTTATATAGGAAAATGATTCTTGATT